TCCCTGGAAGAAACCTCCATTGACCTCCATTGACCTCAGCCTGCTCCTACATGTGGAAAAGCCACTGCTGCTTTCTTTGGCCCTCATAAACTTGATACCATTCTTGGTGTGGTCCTGTGCAGGGCTGGGAGTTGTACTTTGATAGTCCTTGTGGGTCCCTTCCAATTCAGGATATTCCATGAGTCTATGAAATGTCATTTTGCAGTGAGGGAGAAATGCAAAATCCTGAGTGGTGCTGTAGTATGAGACTTCAGCCTCTGGTTTCAGTTTTTTCTCAGGCAAGGTCCCACTGGGATCACTGAGGTCGAGTGAATCCTCCTATTCCCACACCCTGTAAGTTGTGCAAACAATCTGCCATCCCTACAGATGCTGAACCCCACAGGGAAAGTAGGACAAGTATCCCATCATCCAGTCCTTCTCCCCAGGCCCACACTGAGCAACAGGAACTCTTCCAGCAAAGGAGAGCAAAAATACAGGCAGTACAATTAGAATTATAATAATAGTAATTAATGCCTTGTCTCTCTCTAGGGATTTGCTAGTGAGGCTTGCCAGGTGCTGGCTGGGCATTTACTGATCAAAGCCACAGCACCCACATGAAGGGGATGGGTGCCAGCTGGGCCACGGGACCTGAGTGCCTTGGCTGGGGACTTGCTCTCAGTGCCCTCGTCTTTCTCCATGCTTTGGAGGGGAAGACTGGGAGGAGCTGCTTTAAGAATCCCGGGGATGAGGGTTAATGGATGGGAGAGAAGACCAGGTGTCAGCCAGGAGTGCTCATCTGGCCCCAGTGATGTGAGCTGAAGGGCCTGTGTGTGTTTCTGTGTGTGTTTCTGTGTGTGTTTCTGTGTGTGTCTGTGTGCAGGGGCATACATGAGCTCTAATGCATCGACTCCTGTCTGTGCACGTGTCTGTATGTGGGAGGCTGCTCCTGCACACACGTTTCAGTTGACACACAAATGCCAGTCCGTGGGCTTGCACAGGCACAAGCCAGCAAATAACATGGGGGCTGGAGAAAATGCTTTCCAGGGAGAGGCTTGAAGAGCTCAAATTACTTCGTTTACCACAGACATTGAGAGGTGTCTTTATTCCAGTGTGTAAACACTGTCACAAGAGAAGGATGTGGCACTAAAGGACTCTTTAACATCAGAGAACAGCAGAACAAGAAGCAAAGGCTGAAGCTGCCCAAGCTGGCCTGAAGGGCAGGTGTGCATGCTGGCACAAAGGGGATACGCAGTGGAAACAAACTGCTGGGGGGGTATGGCAGGGTTTCTCTAGCCTGGTGAAGGGCAGTCCCTCTGGTGGTGCCTCAGCCAAGTTACTCCATCATCAGGCACTCAGTGTGACGGTAAGCCAATACTATTTGTTATGCTGTTAGAGCCACTCACGTTTCAGCCTCTTTCTTACCCTTTGGGTGAGGCCTGGGCACAGTCTCAGGGTACAGGCTGGTGAGGCATCTGTGGGATGGAGCCCAAAGCAGCTTCCTGGCCTCCCTGCAGAGCCCCTGAGCAGTGCTGCCTCCTGGCTCTGCACTGAGGGTGGTTTCTGATTGCTTCCTGCTCTCATCCTCGCGGGGTTGGGCTGTGGTGGGCTGGTGGCCCTTGTGTCTGGGGGGCTTGGTGAGACCAATAGGCTGGTGGACTCCAGCAGCAGTGGGGAGCTGCTGCAGAGTCCCAGGACATTGTGCCAGAGCAACTGGAAGTGTCCAAGGCCTGGTTGAACAGGGCTTGGAGTAACCTGGTCTGGAGGAAGGCATCCCTGCCCGTGGTAGGAGGAGGAATGAGATGGTCTTTAAGGTCCCTTCCAACCCAAACCAGTCTATAATTCTATCATGTATTGATCCCAGAGATTTGTACTCCACTGGTGGGACATCCAGCTCCAGCCTTGGGGAAGCTGCCTGGGAGCTGCCTTGCAGATGAACCCACAGAAGGGGCACAGGGGACTTTGGCTGTGGCCTCCTGCGAGGAGAGAGACTGTGCGGGGAGGTGTGGCTGAACGGTACCACCTCTGCCTGAACTGCTGGAAGGTGTCAGCCTGAAACAAATGAGTAATTGTTGTTGCTGTTGGTATCAGATGACGTAGTTTACCCGCCGGCAAATCAGCTGAGAAGAGATGAGGCACTGAGTGAAGCAGGGAAATTATTTAGAAAGGTAATAAACCTGTGTAATATAAATATATTAAGGTAATGGATTTTATGTACACAGGAATACAGAATGGCTGTCAGTGGTGTAGGTAGCACGGGGAGCCCACCACGACAGTTCACATGTGTCTTTTTTCGTTCAAAGGAAACTTTAGAAACCTAAAGGTCAACTTGCACAAAGCTCTGCTGCTTTACTTCCCCCTCCATCACAGCCGCTCCGGTGCCTGCCCTTATGGGGCGGGGTGGGCTCACGCCAGTCACGCCCTCGCCAAACCAAGTAGGAGTGGGGGGAGAGATTGCAAACGCAAAAGAGAATTTGAGGGCGGAGAGACAGACTCATCTTGTCACAAGAGAGCAGGAGAGGCTCTGGGTGTCCCCGCGGTGCCGCCTGCCAGGCTCGCCCCTGTCCCCTGCAGCCGCGGGGCGGGTGGAAATGACCTGGAGGTACGAAGTGCCCCAGGGGAGCCGCGCCGCTGCCGCCGCCGGTACCGCGGCGTCAGCCACGGCCCGGGTGCGCCCAGGCATTTCCGCGCTGCCTCTCCCGGAGCAGCCCCGGCGCAGGGGAAACTGAGGCACGCTCAGGTGGGGCTGCGCCTCCTCCGTGTCAGCGTCCGCGTCTGGAAACTCCTGGAAAGACAAGAGGGGAACAAACAGAAGTGACAAGCAATGTCTGTGACTTAATGGTGGAGGCTTGTGCGTCTCGCACTTGCGGCCACAGCTGAGCCCTCCGTGGGCACATTTTCCCCACATGTGGCACCACTGACAGCTGCTCTGCCAGCACCTGTGCTTCCAGCTCGTCTGTGCTGCTGGCAAAGCCCGGCTCAGGTGCTGCTGAGAGGGAGTTTATTGATAATTTTTTTTCCCTTTTAATAACTACTATGTTCTTTGTCAGAAAATTTCATGTTCCTTGAAGTTAGGGGAATGTGGTGACATCTGAAAGGAAAATTTTATTCTAGAGCTTGTCTTGACATTTTTCTTCTCTCTTTTTAAATTTCCCTTTTAATAAGGGGGAAGGGAAGCAGGGAGAGCACACAGAATGCAGAGGAAGTGAGATTTCCCACCACAACAACAAAACTCTTCAAAACATTTTTTTTTTAAGCAAAACAATAGTCAAAAATATCAGAAAGCAAACCATGGCAGTTTACTAAACATCCTTAGCTTACTTTTTTTTTTAACTGCTCTGAGTTTTAACTCCAATGAGTCCTCACACAAGTAGATAAGAGGAATGGCTCTGGGGTGAGCAGGGAGGTAGGAATGTAAATACACGTTTTGACTGCAGTGAGTAAAATCCTCCTGAATATGGCATCACTGGGGGGATGATGGGCGCCCTGGCACTGCAGGCATTGTATACATTGAATTATAGAGTCACAGACTGGTTTGGGAACTTAAAGATCATCTCTCATTGCATCCCCTGCCATGGGCAGGGACACCTTACACTATATCCTAGGATGTTTCAATCTCTGTCCAGCCTGGCCTTGGACAATTCCAGGAATCCAGGGGCAGCCACAGCTCCTCTGGGGGACCTGTGCCAGGGCCTCATCTCCTCTGGGGAACCTGTGCCAGGGCCTCACCTTCCCCTAAGAAGGATTTTTCTTCCTAACATCCAATCTAACCCTGCTCTCTGTCAGTTTAAAACCACTGTCCCTTGTCTTGTCACTACCTAGCCATATAAAAAGTCCCTCTCTTTCCATTTTTAAAGCCTCCTTAAGATACTAGAAGGCTGTAATGGAGTCTCCCTGAAACCTTTTCTTCTCCATGCTTCAATTATATCAATCCAGTTACATTTTACAGACTGCTCTACCCAGTGTAGCTGTGATCCAGGGGATGGAGCTGTCCTGTGGCATCGCTGCTGGCCATGGCATGACGAGGGACTCTGTGTATCTTAGCACAAATCCTTGCAGAACTGTAGCTGTGCCTGGGTGCTTTTGTTCAGCTCCTGATGCAGGAATCCTTTTTACTCACGTTGTGACCTTGGGCGAGCAACTTTGCTGTGCTTAAAATTATCTTCTCTGCAAACAAAGTGCATAAATCTCCATGTCAGGTGAAGCTGCAGCATGGCACAAGGGGCTTGGGTTTGGTGAAGGGTTTTTCCACCCTGAGTTGTCACATGTGTGGTGTCCCTCTTGGGCAAGGGTGCCAGTGCTGCCCCAGAGATGGTGTAGCCCTAATTGTGCCTCAAAGCATGATCCTTTGGCCACTTTCCATGGGGAAAAAGGGTTCAGTAAAATCTGCTGTAGCTCAGGGTGTTTTCAACCCCCCTCTCTTCTCCTAATTTGCTTGGTTTTGCTGGCAGAGCTAAATAGGGGCTGCAGAGACTGATGAAAGAGGCTGCAGGCTCGTCTTACAAAATAAAAAGGCTGGAGCAAATTGGCGTGCCTAGCCTGGGAAAACAGAAGCTAAGGGCAGCACAAGGAGAGCGGTGTGCGGACGGATCCCAGGGTACGCCCTGCGGGAGGAGATGAGCTGCAGAAAGCCTTGGCACAAGACTGTTGTGTGTCTGTAGCCTGTGACTACACGCAGCCTGGAAACCAGAGGTAGCTCTTAAGCAGGGGAGGAGGGAGGCCCTGGAAAGGCTTCCCAGCAGGACCCCTGTGTGCCTGGAGCACACAAACTCCTTTGGTACCCTGTGAGGATTTTCAGGTTGCCACAGCCACCACAAGGCAGCACGGAGAGTCCCACAGCCCCACATCCCCAGGCTGGTGTCACTGTGGGGCCGTGGGAGGATGTCTGTCTGTCCAGCCAGGTCCGGGCTGGGTGTGCTCTGCAGATAAACAGCTCCTTTTACACTTATTCATTCTGCCTGTGTACACAGCCTGCTCGCCAGCGGCCGGGAGGTGCCTTTTCCTGGCGCTGCCTTTGGTGTGGGTTTTACAGATGGTTTTTATTCAATCAGGCAGAGATGAGGGGAGAACATGGCAAATGTATGAAGTGCGCTGGTCATCCCTGGCTTCCTGGAACACTCTGACCTTCACCCACTGATCCACAGAGAGTACGGGGTCATCAATGACTCTTCAGCTCCAGTCCCAGTTTGTTGTCAGGTCCCTTGTATTTGCCTCTTACTGGACACTTAAAGCAACTGGGGTCATACAAACAGGAGCAGGGAGAGGTGACAGCTGGGGCTGGAGAATTACAGGGAGGAAATTAGATTAGAGGGAGCAGGGATCACCAGGAGGCAAGACGGCCCCGTGTTGGGCAGTCAGCTCCTTCCCTCAGAGCCCGACCCCACAACCACTCCTTTCCCTCACATCCGACCCCACAATCACTTCTTTCCCCCAGAGCCTGCCCCAACCACTTCTCTCCCTCAGAGCCCAGCCCCACAGTGGCTCCTTTCCCTCCCAGCCTGACCCCACAACCTGCTCCTTCCCTCAGAGCAGTCAGGGACCCACCATTCTCTTTCCCTCACAGCTCAGCCCCACAATCTGCTCCTTCCCTCCCAGCCTGACCCCACAGGCAATCCCTTCCCTCCCAGCACAGCCCAGCCCCTGAAGCTGCCCTTTCCTCCACGGCTCCTTCCCTTCTAATAGTCAGGGCTGCATCAGCTACCCCTTACTTCATAGCCCGACCCTACAGCAATGAGGGGTCCATCAGCTACCCTTCCCTCACAGCCTGGCCGCACAATTGCCCCGCTCCCCGGGCACTCGGCACCCCCGCACTCGCGGCGCCGGGCCCGCCCCGCTCCCTCAGCGCGGCCGGGGCGGGGCGGGCCGGGGCGGTCCCGCCCGCCGGGGCCGGCACAGCGCGGGCCGCAGGTGCGAGCGGAGCGGAGCGGAGCGGCCGGGCCGGCGCGGCCATGGGCAAGGTGCAGCTCTTCGAGATCCGCCTGGGCGACAGCCGCGTCGTCTACAGCCCCGGCGAGCCGCTGGCCGGCACCGTCACCGTGCGGCTCTCGGGCTCGCTGCAGTACCGAGGTGAGCCCGCGGCCTGCCGTGCCCCGCGGGGCGGATATCCCGGGGAGGGGCTCGCGGGCTGCCCCGGCCCGCGGCCGGGCTTCCTCCCCCGGCTCTGCGGACCGGCGGCTCCGGGGCTGCCCCATCGCTGCCGCCCCCGCTGCCATGCGGCGGCCGGGAGGGGCTGATGGGAGCAACCTGCTGGATTATTTCCTCCTTCCTCCGCTTCCTCCTCTTACTTTTTGCTCCTATCCCATAAAATAAGGAAACATCCTCCCAACCCCCTTCCCACAACGCCCCAGCGCGGGGCTGTGCCACGGCAGCCTCCGGAGCTGGCGGGTGCCCAGGGTGGCAGCGGGAGGTGGCGGAGGGGCTCGCCCGTCTCGTTCGGCTTTCCCGGAGTCCTGCGGCTTCCCAGGGCTGCCGGCATCGCCCCGGCACAGCCCCGAGCCTGGTGCCCTGGGTCGGACGGACGCGAATGTGTTGGGCAGGGAACTGGGCGGAGGTGGGCGATGCCGTGTCCCGGCAGGAGCGGCACCCACCCACCGGCTCGTAGGCACCGTCCGCAGCCAGCAGCCGTGTTGTAAGGTCTCGAATGAACTGGGGCATTGGAGTTGTGGCTCTGCGAGTGTGGGAGATGTCCGCGGTGTGTACGAGGTCCTGTGAGTGCCAGCAGTGGTCTGGAGCAGGAGTTGTTGTTGCTCCACGCAAGGCTCAGGCCATGCTCGTGGCTGGTGCAGTCCGTCGGAGCAGAGGGATGGGCTGGACTGCAGGGAAATGAGCTGGTTGGGCTCGGATCATCCAAACTGGGAGCTTCCTCCCCCGCCTGAGAGAAGTCATTCGCATTTGCAAGTCAGCTTTGTGCTCAGTGCTGTGGAAATGTGAACCAATTTGCTGTTTTCCCTGAGGTCTTGCTTGCTTCTCGTGTGTGCATGCTGCTTCCTTTGTAACAAATTATTGGAGGGGGGAAAAAAGACCAAGTAATGTAAAATGTGAAGTCTCTGTTCAAGAGCTGTCAGCCTGGATGATGGTGCCTCTGCCTGCCGGTGCCTTGCTTTTGAGAGCACCTCTCCCAGTTGTCTGCAATAGCTTTTGGAAGCTTCTTGTGGAAAAAAAAAGTATCTAGGACAAGTGTAAACTTGTAGCCTGTTAAACTCCTGTCAGAGCAAAACAGTCGCAGATCCAGCGTTTATCTCCTTGGAGAATACTCCTGGATGCACTTCCAGCAAAGATGTTCCTAATGAAGTCTGGCTGACTTCCCTCGGCCCATCCCATTGACTTCCATCCATTCCTGAAGGTGCTTCTTGGGAGGGATGAGAGTTTGGCCTTAGAGGGTTTGGTGTGCTGGCCCTTTGTGCTGCCAGCTGGCCAAAGCTACTTGCTGCTGCCTCTACAACTCCCATTTGAGGAGGACCTGCCAGGTTCTATTCTGCACCAGCTCTCCTCTGCTTCCTGGTGTTGTTGTAGGGAAGGAGAAAGGCTTCTCTTTGTTCTAGACCTCCTTTCTGCATCCTTATTGCCTTGATTCGGAGAAGTATCAGGGTCTGGTGTTAAGTACAGGTCCTGAACTCAGGAGGGGTTTTGCTGTGGGATCTGGTGTTTGGGGCTAGTGCAGGGATTTTGGTAAGAGCTGGGTAAGAGCTCTAGGAAAGCTGTCAGATGCATTGAGCCGAAATCTGATGTGGGCTCCATGTGATTGATGCTTCTGTTGTGCTGAGATCACTGAGCAGCTCTTCTAGACTGTTTCATGTACAGTGGCTTCATGAGTTGGGCTAGAAACTTTCCATTACTGGTGTCAGAACTCACCCAGTTAAGTCACATTTGGGTGTGAAACCAACTTCTGCCAAGCACAGGGTGACACTTTGCTGTGTGTTCTCCCTCCTGCTGGTGCTTAAACCTTCCATACTTCATTTCTTGGGCACCCTCTCCTTCTTCCTGGATGAAGGAAGTGTCCCACCCTCAGAGGAAGAGGTTCCTGTGGCTGCTTGAAACATCCTTTTGCTGTAACAGCAAAAGAGATCTTAAAGAGACTTGTGAGCCCTGTTGAGCACTGTGGGCTCGGCACTAGAGGGATCAGACAGCCTGACATCCTCTGGCTTCCTACTGGGCTGTGAGGAGAGCTGTGTGGAATCAACTCATTTTACATTGTATATGCCCCCACACACCTTCTGTGGCCAGCTGTGTCTTTCCAGGCTAATAAACTGCTTCCAGGAGAAGACACAAAGTCTCACCCCTGGCAGGTCTGGCCCTCAGCACCACGATTTGGTGCTTTCCATTTCCTGAGCCAGGCGAGTCTGGCGTGGTGACTTCTCGGTGCTGTGGTGTGTGAGATCACAGCCGGAACCAGCCTGGAGGTGACTCCTCACACGGTAACTTCTGGCTCTTGCAAATTACACCTTCTGAAAGGTGACAGTGCAAACAAACACAGCTCGTTGTGCCTTGCTAAACACGGGGGAAATCTTGGGTCATGGGGCAGCGTAGCTGGGGACACACCTTTTTGGGATCATTGATGTTCCCACTTAGACTGGCGTCAGTGCCAGCCCTGCTGACTGGCACTGAGGGCTGTTCTGGAGCACATCTTCTTCAGCTGACCTTGCAGCAGCATCACAAATACTGACTGGTCCTTGGTGACTCATGTGGACCTTCTGAGGAGCCACATTTCTTCCTGTGCCTGTGCCAGGGTGAGGGACCTGCCCAGAAAACTTCTGAGCCTCAGGGGAGAGCGCTGATGGAAATGGAGAATTCCTGATCATTGTGCCTGGTTTGCTGGGTAAATCATCAAACGTGTGTGCACAAAGAATAATTAATCTTACAGGAAGCTTGCGCAGGGACAGCTGGAGATGGAGTTAATTTGTGGGGAAGGAGGAGGGAAGCCAGTTCATTTGGAGCAGGGCAGGCAGTCCTGGTTGCCGGCAGGAGCATGTGGGAACAAGGGCTTGTGCTGCCTGGAGATGCTGGAGCACTTTCCTCTCAACTCTGTGGCTTCCAGGGCCCATGTGGATTATTTTGGTCGTGCCTGCCATTCAGTGAGGCTTCAACAAGCGTAATGTTAAAATAACAGCCCTCTCTGCCAGGCCACCAAGAGCAAAGAAACAGCAAGTGCTTTCCGGAACAGATTTCAGCACTTTGCTATTCTCCACTCTGTTATTTGGCTGTCCAGGTTTATGCAGGGATAAGTTGACTTTAAAATCACTCCCTTGAACTACAAAGCTCTAGACACTGCTCGTGTTTGTTCATGCTCTAGAAATACACATACATAATTCCCATTTCCACAGAGCAGAGAGCCCATGAATCATAATTTTCTGATCTTAAATGTAGTAAATATTCTTACTTCTCATGTGGAGGAGAAAGCTGGTGGTGAAGGGTAATGAAGAGCAGGGCTCTGAAATTCTGGGTCAGATGTCCAAATTAAAAGGTAACTTCTGTTCCCTAGAAGGGCATTAGTGAGAAATTTGGGTTTGGTTGTTCTGACATGTGTGTAACCTGTGCCCTTCCTGAGGGGAAGGGATGACACCAAAGGGCTTGGTTGGCCACAATTCTCCTAGCACTTGACCTCTGGTACAGTGGAAAACATTGTTCTTGCAGGAAGGCTGTGGCTTGGGAAAGTGCTGGGGAAAAGGTGGATTCGGTCCCTGCATAGTGGTCTGGCTTTCTCTTGAGTCAGAAGTTTGTGTGTAAAGGAGGATTGGAAATCCCTGTGCTGGCAGCATGGGTCACCTACTCACCATTGGGGCAGAAGGGACCCCATTGCTGGTCCCTGCTTTGGGGTGCCTTGTGGGGAGGGAGCGTGGTGCCGCAGAGCTGAGCGAGGCCTGGCAGTTTGGAGGGCACTGTCCCTGGTGATCCTGGCAATGTCCCATGAGGTCCTCGAGCTGTCTGGTATCCACCAGCAGTGGTGGGTGGCAGGATGAGGCCAGCTCAGGAATGCTCACGGATGGCTCCACAGCATCACTCCCTCAGGCTGGATGGCTCCTGCTGTAGTGGAGCTGGATTAACTTTCTTTTTTCATTGTGTGAAGAGAGATAGCGGGGAGCTGTGTGGCCAAGTCTGTCTGAGGCTGGGGAACAAAAGAGGGATTTTTGCTCTCCTGGCTGGCTTGCTGCTGGAGCTCCAACTCCTCTGGAGTCAATAACTAATCACGAGATGGGTTTGTGTCTCTGTCGCTGCAGCGAGCCGCTCTGCGCTGCTCCCCCCGCCTGCGCACCGCTTGCGCTCGGCTGAAAAACTGTTTGCTGCTTTCCTTGGCGAGGAGACATGCCATGGCCTCCCATCCCTTGTTTAACAAAATGGGAGGACAAGTGAAGTGGAGCTCTGTCTGTCTGATTTGCTTCCAAGTGTGACAAACGGGGTGTGAGTGCTTATCCCTTCCCTGGAGCGGTGCAGAGCTGTCAGAGATGTAGCTTGTCTTTCTGGGCTGGAGTCAGGTAGGCGGCAGGGAGGCTCCCTGGCTGGGAGGAAGAAGCCTGTGGGTTTCCATCCCTCTCATCCCGAGGCAGCTCCCTATCCCTGGCTGTGTTGGGAGAGGAGGAGCAGCCAGGGAGTGCATGGACGGGCATGCTCCACTCGGAGCGTGTTGCGGAATGCTTCATGCTGTAAGTCATCCCCAGGGAAGAAGTAGGTGTGTAGAAGACACAGCTGTCACTTGGCTTGGTGGAGTCTTGCTAGAGGCTCTCATAGCCAGTAAGAAGAGGATGGACATGTGGGTCATCCTCTGCTATCCAGAGAGGAGCCCTTTCAAGAGAAGAAGGGAGTGGGGTGGTTGG